TCTGACACTTCTGTAGTTTTTAAGTTTGGGTTTTCAGTTATATATTAGTATGACCCATGGACAGCCACGTGGGAATCCAGTGCCTTAATTGTCATGCCACCTGCTGGTCCCCAGGGTAATTTTTTTTTTTTTTTCCTAGAGAGAGATTTTTGCTATAAGGGTATGTATGCTCACCGGAGAGACAGAGAGGGAAAAACTGAGAAATCTCCCCATCCCAGGGGTGATGACCATGCTGCAATCCCTTCTCCTTCATTCTCTTGGGATTTTGGGCACACATGCACATACCCCCAGTGTAAGTTTCAAGCTGCCAGGTCCAGGACTTGGACCACGATTGGCCATGTAGTCAATGCTTTAATGTGTCTTGCGCCTTAACCACCATGCCACCTGCTAGCCCAGGGTAAATTAATTTAATATTTAAAGAATACGCAGAGATTCAGGTAAAGTACTATTATCACATAGATTAACAAGGACAGGGTGTAACTAAACAAGTTTGTAGGGTAAAATAACAGCACAGAAAAATCGTTAACAACATACATGTTTTAAAAATTTTATTTATTATTATTATTTATACATTCAATCACTATACATCATTTAGATTGTAAAGAGATTTTACCCAGCATGATACACATCTCAGTCCAGTTGAGAATACTATACACATCCTCATCAACAGCTAACAAACCATATCTGTGTCTTACAAATATCTTATCTCTCCTTATTTTCCCCCTAATTTCCTTTCCTGTACTCTTCCCTCTTTCCAGTTTGTCTCTAATGTCCACAACAATTTTTAATGCTTTTATGTTCCCCAGTCTTTTAGTCTCTATCATAGAGTGTGGATGGTTGGTATATGTTAAGCAGAGACATATAATGTCTCTCTTTCATAGCCTGACTTGCTTCACTCAGCAATGAATCTTCCATATTTGTCCACTTTCTACCAAATGCCAGGGCCTTTTTTTTTTATGGCTGAATAATGTTCCACGGAGTATATGTGCCACACTTTTTCAATCCATTCATCCATTTTTGGACATTTGGTTTGGTTCCATGTCTTAGCAATCATGAATAGTGCTACAGTAAATACAGTTGGGCAAGCACTTTTCTGACTGAACAGTCTCCTGTCCTTTAGGTAGATACCCAGAAGTGGAATTGCTAGACCATATGGTAGTTCTATTTGAAGGTCTTTGAGGAACCTCCATATTGTTCTCCACAGTGGTTTGATCAATTTACATTCCCACCAACAATGTAGAAGTGTTCCCCTTTCTCCACATCCCCACCAACACTTAACTATTTTTTGTTTTTTTAGTCTTTGCCATTCTGACTGGGGTTAAGTAGTATCTCATTGTGGTTTTGTTCTAAAAATTTGTATTAAAGCACATGAAAGGCCAGTGAAATTGATATTCTTATCAATTATGGCTAGAAACATTCTTTGTTACAAAAATTGAGAAAACAGTTGTATTAATAACCTTAAGAATATTTGTACTCTATTTCTTTTGAAGACGTGTTAAAAGAATTTACATGAAAAGTACCTGGTGAAAAAAATGCTCATGATGGCATTATCTATTATAATAAAAAAGCAGGAAATTATTAAATTTGTTGCAGTTTTTTTTTCTTTTTTTTGGAGAGGTTTTTGCTACAGGGCGCATGCGCTCGCCAGACAGAGAGAGAGAGAGAGACAGAGAGATAGAAAGCGAGAAATCACCCCCAGGAGGAATGGCCACGCCGCAATCTCTTCTCCTTCATTCTCCTCTCGGGATCTTGGGCACGCATGCACACACGCCCAGCATGAGTTTTAAGCCACCAGGTCTGGGACGCGAACCGCGGTCAACTACATGGGAGTCCAGCGACATAGCCATTACGCTAACTGCTGGTCCCAAATTTGTTACAGTTTAATTTACCCGAAGAAAGAGTAAACAGCTATTGAGAGGGAAATTATTCACAATGAATATATAATGAGAAAAAGAAAAAAAAATAGTACTGTTATAATGTTAAGAGAACAAAATTTTATTATTAAAAATAGATTATTTAGAGGCCAACAAATGGTGTAGCATTTTATTAGGTTAAAGTACTGGAAGAGATTTCAGCCTACTAGTGAAGAATTTTGGGTGTTAGAACTCTGGCTGTTTTCTTTTGAAGTTCTATTTTTCTGAAATTTTTGTAGAGCTCAGTTTTTACTATACAAATGACTAAATTTTTTGTTTTTTTAATATACTTTTTGGGGGGGCCAGCAGATGGCCTAATGGTTATGCCACTGGATTCTCAAATGGCCAACCATGGTTTGAGTCCTCGACCTGGCAGCTTGGAATTCACACCTGGCAAGTGTGTGTGCATGCCCAAAATGCCAAGAGGAGAATGGAGGAGAAAGGATTGTGGTGTGGCCATCTCCTCCCACCTCTCCTCCCCACTGGGGAGTGATTTTTCACTTTCTGTCTCTCTGGCAAGCGCATGCACATATGCTATAGCAAAAAAATCTCTCTTTATAAACAAAAACAAAAACTTTGTGGTAACTGACTAACCAGCAAAGCTTCTAGCCAAGAGCTCAGAGGAGAAGCTGTGTGCTTTGGACCTCCTTTTACCCAAGAGGACTTCAAAAAGTTCATGGAAAAAATGAAATTATACAAGTTTATTCTGGTGAAAAATTTTGAAGCCCATGTGTAGGTATTTATTTTCCATGATCTTTTCCTTTGTAGATGCTTTGCCTTTGTAAGATTTTTCTTTCCTCCCCCTCAAGATTTTACATTCTATGCACCCACTTACCTCTCTTGAGTAACTCTCTTGAGTTACAAGAGAGTCCTGTTTTCACCTCTTCAAAGAAACCTCAACTCCAGATTAGTAGATGAAGCTTATTTGGCCTTACTATATCCCCATGAGGTGAGTTGGCCAGACTTAATTCTGTCTATCTGAAGGATAAGGTTATTGCAGCAGAGAGAAGTTGTGATTTCTTATTGCCAGTTACCTATGTTCAGGCCCTATGACGGTCTCTCTCTTGATCTTTCTCTTCTTCTGTTATGTAGTCAAAGATAAGGACTACTTGGACTGGGCATGATGATATCCACTGGTCCAGAGGGCTTATTTGATTACAGCTAGCTCTAACTTTCCTTTCTGCCCTTCATCAGTCTGGCATTTGCCTCTATGCCATGGGAACGTCTTGTCTTTCCCCTGTTGGCTATGTTAATTCTATTACTGAGTATCTAGAAGTGTCCTTTTCTCTGCCAGCCTCATCTGTAGGCTATAGCAGTCTGCAGTCTCCATGTCATAATCACAGGTCAGCAGTAATTGAAGAGGACTGTGGGTGGGAAGGGAAAAGGCAGCAGTCATCCAGCCTGGAGGCCTATCCCCTGACTTCCCCCAGCCCTGCCCTAAATTTACATCAGGGCCCTTTGTGATTGTTTTCAGAGTCATTCAGGACCTCTCCAGCTTCAGTTCCAGCAAAGGAAAAAAAAAAAAAATTGAACCGATAGGATTGAGACCTCACAGGTCTCCTTCTACTGCAAAGATAGTAGGAAAGCACCAACAAAAGTCTAATTCTATTCCCAGTTTAAGATCTCCCCCCAATGCTCTTGGTACTGAAGTTGCCAAACCACAAGCAACTCTCAGCACCTACTGAAGTCAACAGGTTGAAAAATGATAACACCACCCAATAATCCACACCTGCTACTGTGAACTGTCATCTTTTTTCTCGTAAGGTGATTATGTTTTGATTATGTAAGCCTAAAGTAAGTGTTCTGCAAATATTTGGAGGACATTTCAAAATTTTACAGGGTTCAATAGATGTAGTTTATGACTGTCAATAGGAATTACCTAGTACATAGCTTCAGCTCAGTAGAGTTCATAGCTTTTTTTTTTTTTTTTTTTTTTTATACTTTGTTTTTTATTATAAATTTTTTTTCTCATCACAACACACATATGAATTTTCCATCCAAAATACACTGTGCATTGGCTCAATCAAGCACATCAACATACATGTTCTCGGCAGATGATTTCCCAATTCCCGTGTCCTGCATACCTTGCCTTTTGTTTTGCCATCCTAGATTCCCCATTAGAGTTCATAGCTTTTTAGCAACTGCACAATTTGGGAGATCTTTTAATCCTGGGGTTCCTGAACATGGTAATGATAGGGAGATTTTAGGAAATTTTTTTTAGTTCTTGATATAGTTAATAGATCATAAAAATGACAATCTAAGTCTGGAAAGAGAACGAAGACTTTGCTGCGTGAGGAAACCCATTGTTTATTCTCAGTCCTATGACCACTGCAACCTCAAATGTGAACCCGACCAAACAAGTACGTAATATGTGCTTTTTGCTGTATCATCCTAACCAATTGCCTTCAAATTCTTCCTGCCCTAAATATTATTGGTAGATTACAAAAAGAAGATGAAGAATCCACTGCCCTTGCCCTGGCATTACCATCAGTGTCCCCGTGGACAGGACACCCACTGCTCTGTCCTCAGAGATACTATAGCTGCTGTCCCTGTCTCAGAGTTATTTTTTTCTGGTCTACAGTCTAAGTATCTACCATGGTTTCCATCATCAAGAACACTGACTATAAACCTTAACATTGAATATCAAAACTGCATTAGAATGCACTAATAGTAGTTTCTAAAATGTTGACATTTATCTAATATTTCCTTCTAATGTAACCAAATACATTTCATATATATATGTGTGTGTGTGTGTACGTGTGTGTATATATACATATATATATGTGTACACATACATATATATGATGTAATTGTGTATATATACATATATACACACACACACACATATATATATATGATGTAATTGTTAATAAGAATTAGGAATCAGTCATTTCCCAAGGTGGGAAATACAAATTACTTGCTTAGGAAAGAGTTAGATTTTCATGCCACCCATTATAAATTGTATATGTCTTTACCATATGCTATATTTTCATCTACAGTATGGATGTAGCATTGTTTTTAGAAACACAAATTCTCTTTAAATCATATTTCAAAAACAATGACTTGGAACTGATTTTTCTCTCACAGAATTATACTGTTCCTTCTGGTGACTTGTTAATGTTGTCTCCATTTTGGCTGCATAGAAATCCAAAGTTCTTTCCTGAACCAGAATCATTCAAACCTGTAAGTCATCACTTTCAATATAAATTATCCTTTGCTTTTAATCTATTTTTATGCTAGAAGTATGAATTTATTAATTAACTAGTAGTATATCATTAAACAGCACACTTCTCTGCTAACTAAGAACAAAATTAGGTACAAGTATAGATTAGATTTGCAATATAGATGACACAACATTTGCAAGTCAAATAGGAAAGTTTTTGGAATAAGCTCCTCCAGTTTTATTGATTGATTGATTGATTGATTGATTTATGAAGATTTTTGCTGTAGAGCATGTGCACTCACCAGAGAGACAGAAAAAGGCAGAACGTGAGAAATCGCCCTCCAGGGAAGATGGTCAGACCACAATTCCCTCTTCTCTCAGAATTTTGGGCACACATGTACACACACCCACCATAAGCCACCAGGTCCAGGACTCGAACCATGGTCAACTACATGGGAGTTCAGCTATATAACCATTATACCATCTGCTGGTCCCCCTCCAATTTTAAAATAAATTTTATCTGAAACTAGAAAGTTGTGTTAAAGTAAATATGCCTGGTTCTGAAAAAAGACTTATTTCATGTTCCTAAAGCAATTGCTTCTGTTATGTTTCCAAACAGTATAAAAAATAAAAATGAAGCAAATTAAAACCATGATCTGCTATCACTTAGAATTGCAGTTACAGGACTGAACAGAACCTTAAGAACCTTCTTCTCTGCCTTTAGGTAAAACTGTTGAAAATGACACCATATGTATTCATTCTACATCCCAGGCGTTCTTTAACAGGAAGGGTTGTCAGTGTCTTATTACTGAATGTATTACCAAGAGTGATTTTATGATGAAGCTCAGACCTTATTAATAACTATTCTTCCTCTTCTTAGGTAAATTCTATAGTTGATTTACATTATCATTTATATTTACTACTTAACAGAATCCTTCTTAAACCTTTTCATTTATAAGTTCATGTTCTACAAACACAATTGTGTCTGATATTAATAACAGGTTGGAAAAGATTACGAGCAACTCTACAACTTTATATGCAAGGATTAGCTGTGCAAGGTCATTTTTAGCCTAGAGAAATAAAGTTAAGCTTATTTATGTAAGACTGATTTAGGAAAAAAATGTTTTCTTCCCACAGGAACGCTGGGAAAAGGCAAATTTAGAGAAGCTTGCTTTCTTGGACTACTTCTTGGCATTTGGAAATGGGAAGTACCAGTGTCCTGGAAGGTCAGTGAGATAGCTAGGCCACATATATCCAGAAAGTCTGTAGAAAGACAAAAGCTCTAAGAGTTGACCTTTCTTTTCATTATCAAACTAAAAGGAAATCTAGGAGAGTATATTATTATTATTTTGCTTTGCCTGTGTTGTGCAATGTCTTTGTGGGAATAGCTAAAGTGGCTTCTGATAAAAGACTGTATGAGAAGAAAGTATTTTATTTCTGGATGCCAGATAAAAGTATGGTTTATGGTTCAATGTTCAGCCTTTATGCAAGAATCATTGCAGTGGCTTGAATGCTATATACTTTTAAAAACAAAGGTAGAATAATATTTATTTGACTGTAATGTTATCATGGACATATATTGGGGTGAATAACATCTTCAAGTTGAAGCATAGCAATATTTACTACGTGTTTTTTTGTTAACTGAGTTGGTTTGGTTTTCTAAAACCTATCCTTTGATACCTTTTATAGTTAAAGTAATCTGGCACCTAGGACCCCTCTTCATTGTCATACCCTGTTTTAGTGCAAGTGTTTGTTGTTTAATGAAAATTACTTTTATGTTATGTTTATTTATTTAAGCAGAACATAGTGTTGGTGTGTGTGTGTGTGTGTGTTTTAAAGAGATTTTTGCTAAAGGGCATGTGTGCTCACCAGAGAGACAAAAAACAAGAAATCACCTCCCAGTGTGGATGGCCATGCTGCAATCCCTTCTCCTCCATTCTCCTCTCAGGATTTTGGACACACATGCCCATGCACCCAGCGTGAGTTTTAAACTTTTGGGCCTGGGACTCAAACTGAAGCCAACCACATGGGAGTCCAGTGATATAACCATTACGATATCTGCTGGTCCCAGGACTTAGATTTTTTAAAATATCTTACTGTGTTAGGCCCTCTTCTAAGTGATAGGGGTAGTGTAGTGAGAAACAGTCATCCCCCTGACTTCATAGAATGTACAATCCACGTTAAATAAGTCTCATTTTTTCCCTGGAGATGATTCTGTTGGAGAAACTTTGTACCTATTTGTAAGAAGATCCCACTCAATGAATTTCCAAATGCTTTAATTCTTATATTTATAAAAATGGTAGTTTTCTTGATTTAAGAAGTTAGCCATCTTATGTTGTTTGAACAGTAATGCCAATCCATATTTGTAATTATTACTTACTCCACAGCATCCATTTTATCTTTCCTGTTTTGTGTGTGTTTTGGTATCAAAATGTTTTTAGTCATTTATACCTCATCTAAAGTGGTTTTTAGTCTTAGCCAACTATGGAAATTCTATTCTCCTTTTAGAAGTTATTCTGGAAATTTAAACCTTAGTAAATTGGTGTCTGGTATTTCCCTAGAAATAATGTTTGTCCTAAGGTAGGTCATTGACTTAAACTGGCCAATCATACTGAAAGGAGAGACTTCCTGTTATGGTTAAGTGATAGACCCCCTTCATTGTTTCTCATGGGACCTGAACAAAAAAACAGTTAATACTAGCAAGTTCAAGAGGAATAAGGCATCTGATGGTGTAGTCAATAGACAGCAGAGCAGAAATATGGAAAGGACCTGGTCTAACTATCACTGAACTCAACAGTTTTGAGGAACTCATCTACTTCCCAATCCTTTGGATAATAAATTCCCTTATTTATTTCTTAAGCTATTTTAGTTGAGGATTCCATCTGTTTAGATTGGAAACAGGCTATCAACCAAACAAGTCCAAAGCTGAACATTGTAATTGAGTGTCAGATATTTTAGGGGCATAGTGTAACAAACAATAAAAATAACAACAAAAAAAAACTATCATGCTCATCTTGCCTCTCATATTAGTTTCACTTTAGAGAAATAGTTCTTAGACCAATAGCAAATATATAGTTTTTGTTGCCTACTAAGTTCAATGATCTAAAATAGTATCTGTTACTTTTTTCAGATTACTTTGTATATATTCCCAATAACAACTAAAGGATTTACTATAATCATATTTGACACTGAGCTAGAAAAGCAATCCCCAACCTTCTTGGCACCAGGGACCAGCTTTGTGGAAGACAATCCTTCTATGGATTGGGAGGACGGGGGTGGTTCCAGGATGACACAAACACATCACAGCCACCATGAACCCTCTTTCCACTACCATATTTCAGTGTACAGTGAAACAATCACACACAATAGGTTTCACACTCCTTTGAAAATTCAGTACCACCACTGATCCAACAGGGGTGGAACCCAGATGGCAATATGAGCAATGGGAAGTGGCTGCAAACACAAAGCCTCATTCACTTGCCTGCTGCCCACCTTCCACTGCACAGCCTGGCTGGGGCAGGCAACAGGCTACAGGACTGGCACCAGTCCATAGCCTGGCCCCACAATAGACCAGGGACCAACATCAGTCTGCAACCCAAGGTTTGGAGACTCTTGAGCTAGATTTTAAAACACAGACTGAAATGTTTAGTAATGAAGCATATAACATAGGCCAGTGGTCAAGGATCTCATGATAACTGTTATTTTTAAGAAGAGCTATTACTATCTTCAATGATAGCTTCTGAAGCTAAGAAACATTTGCTAGAATTTGAAAGCATTGGGCATAATAAAGGGGACTATGACTCCACAACTCAATTAGTAGTATCTTATTTATATAGAAACCTCATGTTTTTAGGATGTATTGAGCTCTTACAATGTGAAAGGCAGTACCCTGGGTACTATAGAGGCTTTGGATATGAAATAGGCATGTTCTCAGCCCTTATGAGATAACTTAGTGGGGCAAGGAGAACATCGAGTTCATAAGTAAATTTAAGAAATGAAGATGAGAGATACAAAAGCATCATACTGTAGATTAAAGATGGAAGGAACTTTTGGTCAGGATGATCTTACCTGAGGAAAGTGACCTTTGAAGAACTGGAAGACCTTTTAACCTAAGGAAACAGAATGAGTAAAAAGTCATTACGCCCAATGGTATGTCATTTAGATGTTTGTAGATTGACTGTTATTGGGACCTGATTACAGATAGTGAGAAGTAAAACTGAAAAGGCACATTGACCCAGTTGAGAAGGCCACTTGATACCTGGTTTAGGAGGTTATATGCATCTCACAAGGTACTAGTAAGGTATTAAAGGTTTGGTGTAGAATGGATTAGGGTTGGACATGATTTAGATTATGTAGTCCTGCTAATATTCTATGCAAGAAACATGGAGTGATAGGTTCTAACAGATATTAAAGATTATTAGAAATGGGGATCAGTAGAGAGGAAAGAGTTAAACTGAACTTTGGCTTTGACTCTAGTGACTGGAAGAGATTATGAAAATAGGGCTATCTGGAAATAGCAGTTGGGGGATAAGATTTTTCCTTTGGAAACTCTTGAGTCTCAGGTATAGTACGGTATATATTGTATAACTAAAATCTACAGGTTAAATATAAATGTTGAAACATATAGCCAATTAAAAATATCTTTAGGTCTAATTTACTATTTTTTCCATTTTTAAATTCCTTAATTTTCTGGGGGTTTTTTTGTTTGTTTTGTTTTGCTTTTTCAATTTTAAATAGCCAACTTCTGAAACTTTTGTGTTGCTGAAAAGAAATAAAATAGAAAATTAATCAGGAAAGCCAATGATTTCATTTGGACAATGTATACCAGAAGAGATCTTTCCATGAGAAAGTTAATCCCACAGATTCTTAGTATAATCCTCAGAAAATTGCCCTCATTCTTAATTCATGTATAAGTAGCCAGTTTATTTTCTCATGTACAAAATACTCAATGAGTCAGAGTTGCCTGTAATGTAGCTGATGTCCAAAGTTCATAATAAACCCATACTCTTACGGCCTTGCAGCTGCTACCTCTTGGAGTTCAGACAACACCGAGGTAGAATTGTCACAAGTAAACATAGAGGATTTTGCTTAATTCACTAAATAAACACACTGTGCCACCATCAGCTAACAACCCAAATCAGAATGGAAGAAATATAGAAATATAGTTTCTCCTCCTACTAGTGGATGTTTAAAGAACAGGTTTGGAGGAGGAACCCTTTGCAGACACTTTCTTGTGGCACATAAAGGGAAATCTTCACAGTAATTCTGTTGCTGGAGAAGTCTCATGGTTTTACAGGAAAACTTTGAGGAAAAAGCAGCATGAACTATCAGACTTCTTCAGAAATAGTAGCATGCAAAAATGAAGTCTCATTATAGAGAATAATCTCATTTTAAACTGAGATTTAGATTGATGAATAAGACAGGGAAAAACCTCTCTCAGTGGGTGTCCCTGAGAGCTGATGATTTTATCACAAAAAGATGTGCCACCTCTCTGGAATGTACACCATAGCCAACAAGCTTGATTCTTTTAAGCCTGCTGACTGTCTGATTGTGTGAATTGGTAGGGGTTAAACTCCAGTGTGAAACAATTCTAATTATTAGCAACTGACCAGTTTACAAAAGCATGCATAGATAAGGTGAGGATATAATCAGAATAAGGCTAAAATACTGGAGAGGTGAAAATTAAGCATGGATTCTCAGGAATAGACACTGTGATTTGCTCTTTTTTGTTTGTGTTTGAATCCTCCAAGTATTCTAGGGTAGCGCTAGACCACAAAGTTATGGCCTTCTCTTTAATAACTAATGAAAATCACACAGAATTGGAGAGTTAATTAAAAGTATAAGTCTAGCTAACAGTCAGTTCGCAACACTGTGATTCAACCTAACAAACATCCATTCAGCATCTAGAATTAATATGATTATACTTTCATTCAGAAACTGTTGAATGTATGTTACATATCAGGGTAGGATTCTAGGAGTTATGTTGGAAAACCCTTTCCTACAAGGAGCTTATATTCTAACTCAAGTTGCATTGTTAAAAACTGGGAGATTCAAAGACACATAACATTCCCAAATTACTTTGAATGTGTTTGGGGAGATAAGACATAAGCAACATGACAGATAAGCCCTACTTAGCATAAGATAAGAAAAATGCCAGATGACTTATGTATGCAACAACTACAATAGGAATTTGGGAGAAGTGAGATTAGAAAATGCTTTTGGACTA